TTGATTGTGTAAGAGTCAATAAGTAAATAAATAAATAAATCATCTGATTACAAGGTTTCGCAGAAGCACAATGAACCGATCCACCAACTACAACTAGGTTTAAGCTGTTCAATAAACGAAAAACATTGATCTTTCTAAAACACATGACGAATAGAAGGGGCCAACCGGTCAACGTTGTTAATAGTGTTCCAATTTGTGATCTCTGACAGAGTACCTCAAATTTAAGTGCCATATTCACAAATAATAATGTCAATATGCCACTATGGAAAATATATATGTTTTTTTTTTCGGTTGTAAAAACTAGAATATGAAGGGAACAATGAATCGATCGTTTCAATAGAATTCTCTGCTATCTATAGAGACTATGCTTTGCGGAACGCCATACCCAGCGCAGTCTAAGAACAGCGGGTAATTCACAGCTTAGACAATAGTCATTTCCAGACCCGAGATAGAAAGACTGTGTCTACGCTAAGCAACTTTCCCCCACGCTAACAAAAAAATCTTTTGTCATCTACTGACTTCCTGTTCCGGCCTGTCTTTCTGAATCACACAAAATTGTGCATGATTCTGTAAAATTCATAGATCTGATAGGAAGCACCCTTAAAACATGTATCCAAACAGAGTTTTACTATTCTTGGCGGCAGAGCTTATGTCACAGAACCTTCTTCTATGTTGCTAAGGCGCATACCTGCCATACCACTGTACCATGTATTTCTATGGGGTCTGTACGAGCTGCTATGGAACGACAATCGGAGAGCTGGTGAAAATAGTCGAAGAAACAGCATAAACTCAACTTTGAAGTAATACTGAGCAACCAAATTTATATATGCTGCACATATAGGGGTAATCTAGTTACAGTGTTCAGGAGAGTTTCAACAACCATCCCAAAATACAGTTTTGTGAGAGTTTTCGGCCTTTGAATTCACTGTGATGGTTGCCAGGCGGTGAAAATGCCTGGATGTCCGCCCGAGAATATGGCGATGGAAATAAAACAAAATCATTGCCTGAGACAATGGTTATTTTTGACATCTGCCAAGTACAATCCGCAAGACCACTATGATAAAAAAAAACATAATGTTTTTATATATCAATCATAAAAATATGGGTACTGGTAATTTTAAATTTTAAATGTATAAGTTAAAATGGATTTACTGATGATTGCTCTACTCAGGAAAAAGAAAAAGAAGAATAAAAATAAGAAGATTTTAGACAACATTACGATACCAGATAGTTTAGAAGACAGACCAGATAAGACAGAAAGAGTTCCAGAGAAATCACCAATTGACCGACGCACACCAGCACAGAAAGCATTTGCTAAAGTACAGGAGAAGAGAGTAAGCAAACATTAATGCATACGTGTTGTACTAATTGGAGGTGTACTAACTGTAAACTGTAATTAGATTTGTGTGATTCTTAAAGAATTGTAAGTGAGATCATTGATCAGAGAGAAGAATTGAAATAAAATTTTATTCCATGTATAACCTTGTTTCTCATCTGCGTGAGACTTCGGTACTTTGATCGTGATACTCCCACGAAAATGCAACTTGGGTTTGTTTTGCGGCGGGCGGGGAAAAAAATGAAGATAAAAATAAGTTTTTTTTAACAATTTTTTGCCCTCGCAAGTCGCCGGGCACGAGAAATTACGCTGAAATAACATTTTATTTTTATTTCATTTTCGGCTCCTGTTCATTCGGCGGGTTTGCGAAACAAGAGATAATAAAAGTCTGGCCTAAGAATGTTCATGCTTTATTGATTCTATGGCATTTTGTCAGGAATTGTTTTCCGAAAGTCTAAGAAATTTTTCAGACTCTTAAAACTCTGGTAAATTAGTCTCTTGTACAATTAAAGCGATTTACTGTATATTTTCAAGTGAAACAATGATTGAATGTTGTAATTTGCATTTAATTATCATAGCATAATTTTTTTCACCAAATTTTGAGTGCAAAACTTTGCACAGTTTTATGATTTTTTTTTTCATAATTTCTTCATCAGTTTGGGTCCAAATTGGCAAAAATTCATATCACAATTTTTGGAAAATATAAAACAAAAATGATGGGGGTTATAGGAAAGGTGACTTTGAAATAATCCACACACCTCATGAGTTTGGGGTTAATTATGGCAGTTTGTTCGTAACTTCTCAAAAGTAATTTATATTTTTTTTTTTCTATAGCAAGCTGAGAAGATTTTAAACAAAGCCTCAATGACTCACAAAGATAGAGTAGCTGTAAGTATATACAGTAATACCAAATAAGGTAATACTCGTTGCTATGACAAAATTGGAAGCCTTACCTTTTGAAAAAGTGAGTGAAAAATAGCTCACCTAAAAGCACTGAGGTGAATATTATAGGAGTAATTTCAATGTGTTGAGACATTTTGTATGTATTTTTGTTAACTCTCTTTGACAAAATTTTGCATAATCTCGTCTGTAGCTTGCAGTATTATAACCTTGCGTATATTTCTTCAACAGGGTTTTAATCAACATCTTGACAAGTTAACGGAGCATTACGATATTCCCAAAGTTAGTTGGACCAAGTAAACTGATGAGAAACAAGAGAATATTTCATCTGAATTCCTACGCTTTACATCCTATTATCACAGATGGAGTCATGGACTATGTTTGTTTTTTTCTATAAAGAATCTGTGACTTAAAACACTGTTCTCTAAATACCGGTACTCTGAAATGTTCATGTGACCCACGGTTACTCTTTTTTTAGTAACTGTATGTGACCATATTCATAACAATGTTCTAATAGTTAAGTGGAGAGCCAGAAAGTCCTGTAAGTCAATCTGGTAATTGTCTTAGAAGATGATCTTCAAATATGATCCAGCTATATGCAGATACATGATTGTTTTTATCATCCTTCCACGTGAAAATAAGATTTGGTTACCATGACAACTAATATGGGCTGATTACCTTCAACCACTGATGTTGTGGACCAATTTCATTAAATCATCATTGATATAATCTTGTCATTTGATCAGTGTATTTTAAAGTAGGAAAAATCTTTTATGTATTACCGGTACGTTTTGTGATATTTTAAATAAAGCTTTGAAAAACGTATTTAAACTGAAAATGCTTGTACTGGTACTACTTTCTCTAAATAGCTATTCTCCCTACATATACATACAACAAAATTTGAATGAACAGTGTAGACAAGTCAGTTAACTCAATATTTTTTCTAAAATTTGCTAAAAAAGCAGATGCATTTTGTAACTTTGTTGTTAAATGGATAACGTGATAGAGTATCTCATGAACAATGTTGAAATGTACATTTCATTGTTTGTACTTCTACATAGTGTGTACTTGGATCTTCAAAATATCTTTCCATAGTTCAATATTACAGCAACTCATTACAGTACCGGTAATTGGTTAAAAAAAAAAAATTCAGTTTTACCAATGATGATTTTTGCCATACTTGCACTTAAGACTGTTTCCAATCAAGAAGATAAATCATCATTCCAATTTTAAAATAATTACCAAAATACAAATTTTCAGATTTAAACATTATCACATCTATTTGTAAGAAAATCTAGCCTTAACCTTTTCACCATGTCTTCATTACAAAATAATCTTATTCATAGTCTGCACTTTCCTTCAGAAGATTGGGACAAAAATAGCCAATTTTTTGGAGTGAAAATTGACTTAAATTTTGACTGTTGGCTCTAAAATTAGGGTTCCTTTCCAGAAACATCGAAGAATATATGAAAGTGCAGACAAATTTGGGCAAGAAAGTCTGGAGGTGAAAAGGTTAAAATATTGAGCAGTGTGAAGCTAAAACGATGCCATCTTATAGATCAAACGCATAATCTAAAAATGTTTCGATGACAGTTAATTAGTTCGCAATATTTTACTTTAATATTTCCCTACTGTTAGGGTTAGATTAAAATACCGAGAATAAAACATGCACTTTGATAAAGCAGTTAAAGGGGCACCTTCCAGTTAAGCCAAATCCCACAACAAATTTACTTTCTGGATTAAAATAACAATGGATAACAACCTAAACAATAGTGTCCCATGATTCTTTGGTGCAATCCATGGGATTGAGCAGTTCCCCTTTAAGTCTTGTTCTGCATTTTCAAAACTGCCACTGAGGGCAGTGTTTTAGTTGGCTGTTGAATAAAAAAAAAAAGTGACGTGACAATCAATTGTATACAATTTATGATTTATTAATATCAATACAAAATTTACACACATAATTTTGAAACACACTACAATGTTCATGTAGCTTGCATAATGAGTTGGAATACTTATACACACTAAAACGGAAAACTTAATAAACCTGAAGTGATCCTATTCATGTTAGCTCAGCAAACCATAACCATAGTATATATTTCACGTACACAACTTTACAACAGCAATAAAGCGTATAAAAAGCACATTTTGATTGAAGATTGCAATTCACCTGCTTAAACATAAAATATTTGCTTTAACATATTCTGAATTCAAAGATTAAAATAAACTCACATGTTTAACACGTTAGAAGCACATTAATATATAGTATAAAACTTGCATGTTAAAGTCGCATTCATAATTTGTGAAACATCACTCCCAAAAAAAGCTAAACACATGAAATTATGTACTTTTGGTTAAACAATATATTAAAAGTAGATATCCTGCCTTCACCTTTTCAGATATTTCATTTTGAAATTATTGGAGGGTCTTGTCCTTTAGACAAACGTACCTACAATGTAACTGATCTTTAAGTTCAAACCAAGTGAGTATCTTTTGTTTAAAAATCTATTTTTTAATAATTTCTCACTATCCATCCAAAATATCAACATTTTATGTTGTATATATTGGACCTTGCACACCTAAAATACCATCACAACAAAAGTTGCTGTAAAAGAGCTGCTGTAAATGTATTAACAATTCACTTGTTTTTTAATTTTGCTATTTTCACTAAATTCACTACCGGTAGAATCAATCCATGTGAACATGTTAAAATAACAATAGAACTCATTAGTTCACTGGCAAAACTAATGAGTATGCTCAAAATATCAAAGTAGTATGAAAATAAATGGTTATACAGTATGTACATGTAACTGTATTTGCTTAATTAGATTGTATTACAGTGTGTTTCTACATAGACCTATATCTTTTAGAGGCTCTATGGTTTCTATGGGAGAAAATAATTATAATTATTATAATTATTCAGTATACAACACACAATTTTTGGTTTATATGTGCTGCTTCTAATAGAGCAAATACAGTAATATGATAATCACTAAGTAAAACTATACTTGAATTGTGGTTTCAAATCATTTTTGCTTATGAAGTATTCCTAAATTTGAACCGTATATATTAAATGTTTTCTAGAACAGTCTTTATTTCTATGAACGTCTGTAAATTCGTAAATAATAAGGATCTTGCAATGTATAGCCGCCGTTGATCACCATCGTATCGCCACAAATTGACCACGTACCCTGTGAAAGAAAACCAAATATTATTGTTGCTTGTTGAAAATCTCCAACAGTGAAATAATTTGGACTATGGAGTAGATTCAGAATGTTACAGTTTGTAAGTTCAATCAATAATCAATCAGTATCTGCAACAATGTTACACATAAAGGAGGTATTTTACCAATTTTTCATTATTTTAGTTATCTTACATTATTTAGAATTTTAATGATTTTGTATTATTTAGTAATTTAGTGATTGTATTTTGTTATTTAGCATATTGTTTTCTTTATTTTTTTCTTGTACCTTGTGACTATTTCCTTTTCCTTTGGGATTGTGTAAGAGTCGATAAGTAAATAAGTAAGTAAATATGCGAATAAGTAAATCAATCAATCAATATATAAATAAATAAAAAAAATAAAAAAAAAAAATAAATAAATAAATAATGTACATCATGTGACACTGTTCTGCTCTCAATACTCGCTCAACACAACAATATCCTAGATAGTTTTGATATTCTACCAGATGCAGTGGAGCTTGAGTAAAAGCATCAGAACAATCCTGAAAGCAAATATGTTAAATTTTTAATTCTGATTTTGTTCCTGGTTCTGAGACAGTGCAGTATGTGATACTGATATGTGCTTACCATTTTCTGACTTAACATAAGTCCCCATCTCATCTCCTATGAAATATGAACCCTGATTAAAACTGATTTGTTCCATGGAGTTTGTGTTAAGTAGGATATCATCTTGTAGCGGTAGATACAGGGTCTCTTCTTTGTTCTTCACATCCTCTGAATGGAAAACTGCAGAACCACCTTTCAGGGGAATAAACTTCCTGCCTGAATTAAACAAAATTAAAAAGTCAAGAATAAATGTGCAGGTTTATAGCAGTGATCTATTTAACAGTGAGTAACAATGTCTATTGCAAAATGCTGTCAAATTACTAATCATAAAAATAACAGTCTACATTAAACTTACATTCCCACCTTGTAAGGAAAACACAGTTCACTGATTATTGTGATCACTATGAAAAATTATGAAATCAGTTGGTATGGCAACAAATTCTGAAATATTGAAGTACTGAGGCAAACGTGTGTACACCAAATAAAAACTATTAGACAGGTAATAGGATAGCAATAGGATACCTTCCCAATCACCGAATTTGCAAGAGACGTATGCAAATTAGGTACTTTTGGCTGTAATTTATCTTCATGAAATAAGCAAAGTTCAGTAATAAAATGACTAATTTTTCCTGGGTTAAAATTTTGCTGATTTACCATTTCAGACATATTCAATGGCTTTTAAATTCTGGTTTTTATCATTTAGATAATGTGTTCTATGCTAAATTTTACATATTCACTGGGTTTTAATTTAGCACATTTTCCAGTCAGCAAAATTAAAACCCAGTGAATAATTAAACCTTTTACAGTAACAGAAAATATGTGTATTCCAAATTCCGTAATGAGGGGAAGATCTCTTATTACTGGCTCAGGGTCTAATATGTTTTATTGTAATCATGCTTCTGAACTCCATTAATAGATTCTGTTGTGTAAGATTTCTAATTAAGTGTGCAAAATCCAAGCATATGAAGAAGAATAATAATAATATATATTCACCTCTGAAATGAGACAGTGGGGTATTGTTACTGGTCCAGCTGTCTGTCTCATCCTCAGCAGTTCGTTTTCTCTTGATGGAATTATTTCTGACTCCATTCAAACAGTGTTCATAATGAGGAATATCAGAGGAAGCACAGGCCATCATTTCCATGGTAACACTTACAGCATCTGAAAATCAGATTACTACCGTAGTATTCAAATTGTTGGTGTGTTAATATGAAACTGACTGGTAATACAAGCTGATTCTAGTGTTGCCATGGTAACAGGAGGACTGACTCAAAAACAAAATTTTAGGAACACACTCAAGCAAATTTTGATGAAATATGTCCAGGATTGTGACTCAAAGATTTGTACGAGCATGCATTTTGTGCGAAGCTACGACCAAACAGTTGTTGGCCATCATGGCAATAGTAGGACAGAACTATTTTTCATTTCAAATTTGTCTACTTTTTGAGACTGTGGTGCTGATGGTTTAGTCAATTTTCGGACCATTGAACTCTCGGGTCAATCAAACCAAATGGCATGGACATGCATCATACACAGCGAATGATGCATGTCTGGGTGAAATTGGAGCATTTCCATTGATAACTGAAGTGAAAATTAATATGATTAAGTTCTGGTCCCATGTCACAGACAAGTCACAAAATAATTATACAAAAGACTTTGTCAAAAGCACAATGGTTAACATCAGCCAAGAATATCTTGAAAGATGCAGACCTCTAAAAGATCACAACTATCACACCAAAATATTAAGGAAATTAGCAGCACTATAGAGAATATGACAAATGAAAAAACAAAACTGAGAACATACATTAAATTTAAAATGAATTACAATCTGGAAAATTGTTTTGGATGATAATCAAAGAATATCAATGGCCAGAATCAGGATAAAGTAGTCATAATCTAGCCATTGAAAAAGGCAGACATACCAATTCAAAAACCCCATTAGAAAATAGAATTTGTAAACAATGCCCATTACAGGAAGTTGACATCAAACAGATAGAAATGATTTTATTTCCAGTATTTTATTCCCCAAAGAATTACCAAACAGCAAAAATTCACATATTAAATGAAAAGTAATGACAGAAATATAATTAAACTTTTAGGGGAATTTCTACTTAAATCATTGCTATTATTTTAATCACTTATATATTTATTGCTGTAAACCAATAAAAAATGTGTACTTCTAAAGATGCAATAAAGTTATTATTATTATGGAGCTTTGTGATTTAATCAATCGTGGTATCAAGCAACACGTTTCACGTGTTTAGTTTACATGCTATTGTCGTATATCTTGAAGATCGTACGCAACCTTGTAATACTGTTCTGTGCCACCAGCGTTGTCGCTCGAAGAAGGCAAAGGAGAACAGCGATAAATAGTTTTACATACGGTACTGCCCTTCAATGCTTGGGCGAATCGACCCGGGAATCGACACTCAACAGACGAAGCAGCTGCTGAGATTGAAACAGCGTTGCTGGAACTATTTTCTTACCTTACTTAGTATAACCAGGTTCAAAAAATTATAATATCCGTAATTCCAGCAAAACCTTTATCAAACTGAATAGCACTGGGTTGAAAACCAACACAGGACAATTTGTTTTCAAAAAGAAGGACGTTCAAAAGTTACGCCGGTCAGAGGTCAAAGGCTGATTTTATGTCACAGAACATGCGCAAAGTGTTCTCTTTCAGGCCGCCATATTTTCCTAATTTCCGGAAACGTTGCACCGAACACGATTTGTAGGCGTAAAAAATATTCGGTTACAAAGAAACGACATATTTACTGTTCCCTTGTTTGTTCATCGTCGGAATAATAACATGTCTCTCTCTGCGGTGTTTATACTTGATATGAAGGGAAAGGTAAGTAATATCATTTATTTATTTTTAAATCAATAAAAAAATAGTGTATATACCGGGTGTAATTTGGAAATCGCAGTGAGGTAGCCATCCCCCCTCGACTCTGTGACTTTTAATTCTATTTGGAGATTTTTAAACGATTTTAATTTCAACTGGTGCTAAATCTCCGCCGTGGATTAATTTAAATTTTCTCAGTCTTGATCATTTCTTACACATTTTTGGAAGTATTTAGTGGTTTACTACATTTCTAAACAAAAACATATCCAATATACATATTTAACGAATATCCCAAAAGTTAAAATGTTTATAGTTTTAATATTTTGTACACCAATCGTGTGACAGTAGAGCACGATGCTAATAAATAAAGTCTCTAAAGCAATAAAATTTTTTGCAAAATCAAAGGTTTTCTTATTTAGTTACTGTTTCTAATCTGACAATGTGCACTGCTTTTTATTTTATTATTACACTTTTTTTTTACCCACCAAATAAAAAGAATCCCTGCTCATTCTCGCAGTGTATTTTGTTCTGACTGGTTTTAACTAATGCACACATTAATTATTATATTACATTTTCTGAATAGTTATTATCGACTGATAAATATTACAGCTGTTCTGAGAATTATTCGGAACTTTGCAAAACACTTGGGTCTTTTCCAATCTAGACTTGATGGCGCCGTTGTATTGGCATGCCCACGATTGGAATCATTCCATTATCTTACAAGATGCGGGTAAAACGCTGTTTTCAAAACGACACGCGTTTGTTACTATATATTAACAGGTTATATGTTGTATATGCATTCAAAGTCTTATTTTAAATTGTTATAACCATCTGAGTCCACCTGACATAGCGCAATTTACAAAACAACTCCCGAGTGTTGAGTAACCCCAAGTATTAATGGAATCGCCGTTGGTGGGAAGGCTCAAAGTAAAGTTTCTTAGCTGCTGCAGTTTCGTGACAGTTTTGAGCCGAACTAAAAGTTGTTTTTACATTACTGGTGTATTATGTATCAAATTCAGATTTTATACCGAGGTGGGAGAGTACGTCAGGGATACACAGACGGAAAACTCGATTATAACGCTTTGATGGACTTTGTCAAATCAAAAGTGCCCTCCTTGATCGAATCACTTTTACAACTGCAGTTTGAAAATGACGGGGTATAACGACCGTTATTATGTCCAATGCAATTCACCAAGCCGACAACCCCTATGAAATAGTAATCCCAAACCACGCGCTCGTCACTCAAGTGGCGCTGATAAGTCTAGATTGGGCAAAGACCAAAGTGTTTTGCAAAGTTGGAAGTCATTTTGCTAACTGACTGTCCGAATAATTCTCAGAACGACTGTAATAGTGTTCACCACCATGTGTTTGGGTCCCAGAGCTCAAGGGGGTGCTGTTGACAGCAGGGTGTCGCATGCACCTCATGAACATGAACTACTGCTTTTAGCACTGAAATTTGAGAGTAGCTTAACTATTTATTGGTCAGAAACAGGTAGATGTAGCTCCCAGTCTGCTCTTTTCATCACAAATTCACAAATAGTTTTATTTATAGGCTGCACTTTCCATCAGAAGATTGGAACAAAAATTGCCAACTTTTGAATAAAAACTGAAAAGTTACTCAAATTGTGTCTGATGGCTCCATAATTAGCATTCATTTCCAGAAATATTGAAGAATATAAGAAAAAATGGATGGTGGTGAACAGGTTGAACCCATAGCATGCTGCAATGGTTTTAGCGACTTTGATTTTACTCTGGAAATTTGTTGTCACTGACCTCCTATTGAGCAGAACATTTTTATTTACTATCTACCAGTTATATTCAAAATTGATAGTGTTCTGACTACATAGAAACCATTAAAGATGGAGACATGTGGTCAAAAATATACCCCACAAACGCGCCTCCCAGTTTGTTTATTCTGTCTGTTTATCCCCCCATTTTTCAACCATTGCATAATTACTAAATCTTAATATATTATCATTACATTGTTTCTGCAGGTCTTGATTTCCCGTAATTACCGTGGTGATGTGGACATGTCAGTTATTGATAAATTTATGCCTATTTTGATGGACATGGAGGAAGAAGGCCAGGTATCCCCAATTGTTGTACATGGGGAAACAACATTTATGTTTATACAATACAACAACTTATACTGTATCCTTACATTGTTATTTAATACTGGTAGTTATGCTTCTGCACATGCACCTTCTTTGATAATGAACTGTTACAGCATCCCAAAACCCAGTGTTCATCCCAGCCCTTTTAACTATTCAATATGGACAAGAGAGTATAATTTTAGTGTTGTTGTTTGATTCTGAACACTGTATTGTAGCTCACATCTGAGTGCTGTAAATACTTTATTAGTCCCTGCTTGGACGAAGTCCGAAAACGGGGACTTATAATTTGGTCTCCGTCCGTGTGTCCGTCCAGAGTCATATCTCAGAATCCCTTGGACCAATTCCGTTCATTCTTTGTATGTGTCTAGTACTTTATGTGGGACATATGCACATGCAGTGGTTTAGCGATTCGATTCAAAATAGCCGACTGGCAGCCATCTTGTTTTTTGAAAATGTTGTATTTTGGACATGCTTTGTCAGTTTTCATTCAAACTTGGTACATAGATTATACATGTTAGGATACATGTTCATGACGATTTATTTCACAATTGGATCAAAGATGGCCGACTGGCAGCCATCTTGTTTTTTGAAAATGTTGTATTTTAGACATGCTTTGTCAGTTTTCATTCAAATTTAGTACATAGAACATACATGTTAGGATACATGTCCCTGGCCGTCCGTGAGTTCCTGAGTCTGTCCGTCCATCCGTCCGTGTGTCCGTCCGTCTGTCCCTCTGTCCAGAGTCATATTTCAGAATCCTGTGGACTGATCCCATTCATTCTTTGCATGTGCCTAGTACCTTATGTGGGGCATATGCACATGCCGTGGTTTCGTAATTCAATTCAAAATGGCCGACTGGCAGCCTTCTTGTTTTCTGAAAATGTTGTATTTTGGACATGCTTTGTCAGTTGTCATTCAAACTTGGTTCATAGATTATACATATTAGGATACATGTCCATGACGATTTATTTCGCAATTGGATCAAAGATTGTCCACTGGCAGGCATCTTGTTGTTTTTTTATGCGGTATCTTGGACGTGCTCTGTCAGTTTTCATTCAAATTTCGCACATACATGTACTTTATACATGTTAGGATGCATGTCTATGACAATTTGTTTCAAAATCTGGTAAAGGATGGCCGATTGACAGCCATCTGAATTTTTGGCCTTACTACTATATTTCCACAATTTATGTACCATTTTCATTTGTATTTGGCATACATCATACATATCAAGTGTGTTTCATAATCAGATCAAAGATATCCGAATAATGGCTGTTTTTATTTTTGGCCATATTACTACTACACGGAACACGTGTTTTGATGTAAATAAACAATCTGTTGTATACGCCACTTGGAACTCAAGTTTCAAGGACACGCTCGCGACAACCCCTCCACTTTAATATGACGAGCACAAAGAGAACTTTGAAAAATTTAATGGGACTGTGTCATTTTTAATGACTTGTTCTAGCAGGAAATTAATTTTCGCCGAAAAGCCTTTTTGGGTGTTTTGCATTTTGGAATTTATTTTCACTGGTTTAAAACGTAGATGTAAAATATATGAAAAAAGGTATAATTGTTGGATTTCAAAGTAGTACTTTACAGTATTGTGAGTAATGAGATTCTCTAATATGCATATGCACTGGTTGTTTTGGTATTTACAATAACAATTCCTGCATATGCATATTAGTGGTTTTGATTTATAATCTATATGTGTTCAGATAAATCATAGTCTGATTTGATCTACAATATGGATTTTTATTTCGAATAACAATATTAAAAAAATATTTGTTTTTGTTCATATTCCACGTTTTAAAGCACGGAAGTTTTATCATGATTGGTCACTGAACTGCCATGCTTGAAATGTCAAAACAAGTATTTATATGTTAATTATATCTATTGTTACAACACATATATATGCAAATCAGATTATATTATTATGCAAATTCACTATCATGCTTTGGAATGGGGAAATCCCTATGAACCAATTATATTCAATACATAATTCATTTATCAATATAGAGTATAGAAAATTATCTACGGCCACAAAGTTCAAAATACCTTTTAACAGGGGTTAAAATTGAGGCCTGTCTCAGACAGGCAGATTTTAGATGGGACACGTAAACGTACAAAAGTTTTATTAACTGTCCAAATGGGATAGTCCAAAGTTGTTAATATTCAAAATGATGATGACCCAATAATTAAAATTATATGTAAATAATATGTCTTAATTTATTTTGTTAAGGACAGGTACTTTATTAATTGGAACAGCTACTTTATTCTCCAATCTGTCAGGCAATTATATTTTTAATTTCAACCTCTGCTTTGATTTCTGTATCATTCTTGTGACAGATTACAGATTTCTGACAACTCAAACTCAAAAGATGATATGGCAAAAAGATGTTTAGACATTTTAACATGCATTACCTTTGACTAATCTGAATACATGTAGTTATTTTAAACAAAATCTACCAAATTGCTTTTGATTGTATGATATCCAAGTGGTAGTATGTCTGCTAGTAAACAAGTAGTTGTTGTGATTCAAGATGGCTGACAATACCATCTAGTACTTTCCTTAATGCTTATATACAGTGGTGTCAACAACCAGAAAGAATGCTAATGTCTGCATGGTGTTTACAATTTTACACAAACTTGTAGAAGTAAGTCTTTTTTTGTCTTTTTTATTATGTAATTAACAATGTTCACTAAAATTGAACATCAAGAGGTAGAGATGCATTGTTGACATAGTCAGATATCAGCAGAAACTTTTATTTTCATCTGATAAGAGATTTTGTATGATATTATCAGTGTTTTATTCAATGGTCTTTCTTGAATAATATAAAGTAGTGTTTAGACAGACAGTTAAAAGTCAGTTTGCAATATGAACATGCTTCTTCATGATAACATGATAATTCTTAGCATTCCTACCTCAGACACATAATTCCATATTTGTTCAGTAATAGAGTAGTGTGGAATAGAATATAGTACCATAGAGAATATAGTAGAATATGGTATCAAATAGAATAGAGAATGTAGTTGAAGAATGTAGAATGAAGTGGAATATAATCTAGTACAAAATAAAATATACCATGGTATGAAATAGAATGGAGAATATAGTAGAACAACATATACTGGTAAGGGACGACGTCAAAAGATCGATGTCGGATAAAAAACTTAATTCCTTTAGTTTTTTTCCAAACCCCCCTACCCCCCACTGAAACTTAATTGATAAATATTGGTCATGGCGTCAGACTACATTCACCATTAAATACAAATTGATAATCGGACAGTAGTATTGCATAGCAGTTGGCTGTCGGGTGGATGTAAAAAGATTTTACAAATGCACCTCATTTGACGCACAGATTTACACTCGAACCAAACCATTTTTCTGTTTTTTACCTTTTTCGGTTATTTCTGTCAATGATTGGATAGAAAAAAAAACGAACTACAAATACTCCAAGATTTTTTTGACTTCATTAAAAAATAAAATCGTTTTTGTAGGATGGAAACTTTTTGAGGTCAAAACCCCCCACCCCCAAACTAAAGGAAATAATTTTTTTATCCGACATCGATCTTTTGATGTTGTCCCTAATAAAGAATACAGTAGAACAAAATAGAATAGAATAGAGTAGAACTTTATGGAAAATATAATAGAACAGGTTGACACTTTATTAGACACCTTGTGCTTGGTTTATAAAAGTAAAGCAATAAAACTAAAACATTATTACTGTAAAATAATTTATTTTAGCTGGAATTAATTTTCGCTGAAAAGAGTGTTTTGTATGGAATTTATTTTCACTGATTTTTGGCGAGTTGAATCTAAAATATGAAAGAAAAAAGGTATATATTCGCTGGATTTTATTTTCACTGAATCACCCCTTAATTCCAAGTATTTCACAGTATATATCTCTAGATTATTTTTCATTGCCAACACGTTTTTATACTTTACAGGTATTTCTTGAATATTTTAAAGAACTAGAAGAGGAAAGTATTCGTGATAATTTTGTTCTTATTTATGAATTATTGGATGAGTTGATTGATTTTGGGTATCCACAGACAACTGACAGTAAAATATTACAAGAGTAAGTATCGTTATAATGAATTTGAAACAAGCAATGTTATTGGAGATGAAATGTTTGTTTTCAGTCTCTGTGGAGTCGTTTTAAAAATTGTATCCTTAATTTACTACCAATTGTGCTGAATTCACTGTATACAAGACATGTAGCTAATAATCTTTTCACCCTTGAGCACCGGAGTGAATATTTCTCATTGATGTAGAATTGTTTTCCAGGAAAAAACAAAAACAATCGGTAATTTATTCCACGTACTGTAAAATCTGTATCACAAGGCACATCCCTAATAGAAGTCGCACCCATTCCTTTTGAGAATAAAAAATTCATCATTTCTCATACATGTATGTGTAGATGCTCTAATAGAAACCACATCCCCTCTGTTGCATTGTACCATTTTAATAGAAGCCACGATTTCTAATACAGATTTCACAGTAGGTAGTTGTTTTAACCTGCTATTTTTTAAATCACTGTTTGTCACTTCTCACAAAATAAACCTGCCCAGCATTTTGCGTAATGTAGCTTGTTTGTTTTGCAAAACAGTATCTCGTAGTTCAATAATTGCTGTTTCATTCACAGCAAGTGACCCTGTTTCAGTTGTATCAACAATTCATATGTATTGAATATTACACATAATGAAAATCTATCATCAAATAAGCATGTGAATTAATATGTTGTGAAAACGTGTATTATTTCTTTGTTATTTTAGATATATAACCCAGGAGGGTCAAAGGTTAGAAATAGCACCTAGACCACCAATGGCGGTCACTAATGCTGTATCGTGGCGTTCAGAGGGAATCAAATACAGGAAAAACGAAGTCTTCTTAGATGTGGTTGAATCTGTTAATTTATTGGTAAGTTACTGTATTTTCCATAGCAGCCCTACTAGTATGAGCAATAATTTATAGATGTCATATAACATGTTTTCTCTAGTGTGTACAAAAAGTAGCTATAATGCGTTTCTTCAACTCTGTATATCATCATCACTGGGTGACTTGTGTTTTGTGTCTCTTGTTGCTAGGCAACCATACATGTGGTCATGATGATCTTGTGAGTAAAGAGTTGCTACTGTTTTTCTGGCCATCATGAATATTCACTTTCATGCAGAAATTTTAGTGTTTCTGCTTTCGTTTTGTACCGAATATATTCATTTTGTAGTACCGATAACTGTATCCAATGGGGTTTGTTTTATGTTATTTGTGACGTCTTGATGTGTTTATTGTAGGTGAGTGCTAATGGCAATGTGTTACGTAGTGAGATAGTTGGTGCAGTCAAGATGAGAGTGTTCCTCAGTGGTATGCCGGAACTCAGACTAGGACTCAATGATAAAATATTATTTGAAAACACAGGAAGTAAGTAATAACTGATGTGCTAGGATTTGCATCGTTCCATATTTGGAATTTGCATTTCCTAATATGGTAGGATGCAAATACCCAGTGCAATACCGGCACACTGTAACTTATGGCATTGCAGTGACAGATGTATAATAATTAGACACTGTGTCACACACACGAAGATTGCTTAATTGAACCTACATAATGTGGCAACATTAAAATTGTTAAGTCAATGTGCTTAACACATTCATTATTGTTACACTAATAGATGGTTGAAACAAATGAGTACACTGAGCTCAAAGTTTGTCTTTTTGTACAAATTGGTCTCCATGTCCATTGATTACATGATATGTAGCATAGCAGTGTATGCTGCCAATGACATATTGAGTTAAATTTGTGTGGCACCCAGCAATGTGTGAACTCTTTCACTTTGATGTCATTGATCGATGACATTTCCATTACCTATATCATTACAGGGACTAAGAGTAAATCAGTGGAGCTGGAAGATGTCAAGTTTCACCAATGTGTACGGTTATCAAGATTTGAAAATGATAGAACGATTTCTTTTATTCCACCTGATGGTGAATTTGAGTTAATGTCATATAGACTGAACACGCATGTAAGTATTTGCTTTATTCCACTCCCACCATGGATTGTCTTACCCAATGCATTGATTTCTAGAATACCCAGTATACCTGAATAACTGAAAGGTGCTTACATGAATGAATGGCAGGTATTAATAAAAAATTAATGGTTATTGTGTATTTTATTGCCATCTGGGTTTTATTTTCTCTTATTTGACTGATAGCTTAATGTACTAATTTAAAACCTAGTGAATAAGTGCAACAATAGAATATATTGTTTCTTCACAAAAAATGTGAATTTAAAACCCAATGCAACTTCAAACCAGGTAAATTTAAACTCGGTGAATATTTCCCCCCATAAAGTATGATTCAGGTTACATATCATAAGGGCAAAACAATTTCTACCAGATTGTGTAGAAAGAGGTTGTACCTTGTGAATGAATTATCAATGTAAGTTGTCACATTTGTGGTTTTCATATATGCTCGAAGGCCATTCCTTTTGAAGCCCATATACAATACAGAAACCTTACTTCAACTCATGGAAGCATGTTAACCATATTAAACAAATTAAATACTCAATGTGTAAATGCATGTACAGTCAAACCTATATATAGCGATCACCCTCATTCATTCATTAAAATGTTTTTGTAGATGGGTGGTCTTCATAAGAGGTCGGATTTTTTTTTTATGGACCGCCAACTTGTACATTTTACAAAACATGTTCAAAAGTATATGTGTAAGAATTGTTGAAAGGGTCGGCACATAAGGGACTACGTCAAAAGATCGATGTCGGATAAAAAACTTATTTCCTTTAGTTTGGGGTGGGGGGTTTTGACCTCAAAAAGTTTCCATCCGACAAAAACAATTTTATTTTTTAATGAAGTCAAAAAAATCTTGGAATATTTGTAGTTCGTTTTTTTTTCTATCCAATCATGGACAGAAATAACCGAAAAGGGAAAAAAAAACAGAAAAATGGTTTGGTTCGAGTGTAAATCTGTGCGTCAAATGAAGTGCATTTGTAAAATCTGTTTACACCCACCCGACAGCCAACTGCTAAATATGCAATACTACTGTCCGATTATCAATTTGTATTTAATGGTGAATGTAGTCTGACGCCATGACCAATATTTATCAATTAAGTTTCAGTGGGGGTAGGGGGGTTTGGAAAAAACTAAAGGAATTAAGTTTTTTATCCGACATCAATCTTTTGACGTCGTCCCTAAGACATGTGATTTTTTATGCACAATTGATCATATGCTATGCCTTGGGAGTGTCTAAAAGTGGTCACTGGAGGCCGGTGATCTTTATATAGGGTTCCCTAGCAAAGGTTTGACTGCAATACTAACAAAACAAATCTAGTATTATATACCGGTTCAATGCCAAAAACTTATTCTTCTAATTTTGAATTACAGCATGAGAGATCATTGAATGTAACTTTTTTTTTTCTTTTAGGTAAAACCACTGATTTGGATTGAATCTGTTATAGAGCGTCATTCACATAGCAGGGTAGAATACATGATTAAAGCTAAAAGTCAATTCAAGCGACGTTCCACTGCAAATAACGTAGAGATCATCATACCAGTACCAAGCGATGCTGATTCACCTAAATTTAAAACCACAATTGGTAGTTGTAAATATATTCCAGAGATGAGTGCAGTTCTTTGGAATGTCAAGTCATTCCCTGTAAGTAATTGCTAATCTGTAGTATCTACCTCCATTGATGTATTTATTGTCATGGGAATTTTTGACTGCACAACCAAAAAATTTGGTTTATGTTGTTTCAACATCACAGAAATGCTCCGTCATTAGAGTGTGATTTGTGGATAAGATGTACTTTATTTGCTCTGTTAGGCCAGACTTATTTTATTCCTTGTTTCACGAGTTTTTTTAAGGCAATTTTTTCGAGGAGGGCGAAAAAAAAAAAAAATTAATTCTTTTTTTTCCCCATTAGATTTGTGTGGTTCCCAAAGAATTGTAAGTGAGATCATTGATTGGAGAGAAGAAATGAAATAACATTTTATTCCATGTATAACCTTGTTCCTCATCTGCGTGAGACTTCGGTACTTTGATCATGATAGTCCCATGAAAATGCAACTTGGATTTGTTATGCGGCGGGTGGTAAAAAAATAAAGATTAAAATAATATTTTTTAGCATTTTTTACGAGAAATTACGCTGAAATAAAATTATATTTTTATTTCATTTTCGGCTCTTGTTCATTCGGCGGGTTCGCGAAACAAGTGATAATAAAAGTCTGGCCTTAGGAGCACCTATCCAATAGTACATGCCATCCAACAGTTGCATTTATTGTATAATTGATTATTGAAATTTTTATTATGACCCAAGCATGAATGGCCATTCTAACGTTACCTTGGTTTGTTTTGTTCTACAGGGAGGTAAAGAATATCTGATGAGAGCACATTTTAGTTTACCCAGTGTCGAAGCTGAGAAAAAGGAAGGGACACCCCCTATTCAATGTCGATTTGAAATTCCATATTTCACTACCTCTGGTATTCAGGTAAGTTACTTAAAGGGACATATGCCATAAATGACGATCTTCTACATTGTTCTGTATACAAGGGATATTTACATAAAACTAATGTAGGATCTTGTTTGTGTTGACCCATATATATAAGTTGCCTTGTACAATATTGTTTTGTTTCATTCAAACTGGCTGTCTGACCAGCTGTAATCGGTGACTTCAAAACCAACTTCCATACTGTCATTTCTGTCTGATTAGTAGTACCTTACACCCAAAAGCCACTACTTTTGATCATCCCCTTCTCTCCAAAATTGTTGTTACCGGTACTTTTTAAAACGGTTTAAAAATCTGCACAAATAAAATAAAAATGTTCACTAAATAGTTTCTATAACCCAATCTTTATGCTCTTCTTGGCAGAAGATAATTTACAATATAAATACCAGTTTTTATACCAGTTACAGCGCCCTCACAAGTATGTTCCAATTCATACATTTGTTTATTAATTGCTTCCAGGTTCGCTATTTGAAGATTATTGAGAAGTCGGGCTACCAAGCATTGCCGTGGGTACGGTACATAACACAGAATGGGGACTATCAAATTAGAACTCATTAAACATGTAAACATACAAAACATATCTTTCCACACAGTGTACGTCTGCGGCCAACAGTTGCATTGCCGAAACGTTTTTTTAGTACAAACATTCGAAAATCAAGATGACATTAATTATGGTTCATAGAGATGCCTTCTACTGTTTAGCACCTTTGCTGTAAGTACTCACCTGTACAGGATACTTCACATGATAATAAACTCTGTCGCCCCTACTTTATTTTTGGTATGGCCCAGTGCCACTTAATATAGCATGGGTGAATCTATTCTAGTCCCAGAATTGAGGGGAGAGTAGGTTACATTTTTTGACAGGTTATTTTTGCATCGTCCTGATACCAAGAGTAGAATTCAGTTAATGAATGATTGTGTGTCGCACAAAAAACTCAGTCTTGTTCAGTGTATTTAAGTTATCTGCCTTTATATTTGTATTCGTTCAATACTCTGTAAGTTGTATCCTTATTGCCCAAAAGAATATCACAGTAATTTTGTACCAGTTAGCGAAAAATTTTTGTTGCCAAAAGCTGTTTAGTTTTAATGTAAAAAAAAATGTCTTTTCTATGCAGAGGTACATGTACTACCATACTAGAAGTACTGTAAAATGACTAATTTTCGCTGGGTTTAAATTTCGCTGATTTACCATTTCAGGAATATTTAGAGGGTTTTAAATTCACCGTTTTATCATTTCGATAATGTGTTCTATGCTAAATTTGGGTTTTAATTTAGCGCATTTTCCAGTCAGCGAAATAAGCAAAATTAAAACCCAGTGAATAATTAACCCCTTTACAGTATTTGTCGTCTAATGCTTTGCAACTTTGACAACTTTTCCATTATACATGTAAAACAAATGTCCACTCTTTGTCGCAGAGTTTGTGTACTTTGTATATCATGAATTAAAGTTGTACTCCAAAATCATACATAGAACTTTATTGAATTACTGCAGCCTGCTGTACTTTAGAGCAAAAGCAGATCTTTGGAACCAATATTCAATAGCGCTAGCAAAAGAAAAGTTCAAATGTATTAAAATTTGAACGTTTATTTTACCCAGTATACATTTTCCACAATTCACACATGATTCAGATTCCCAAATATTTTACACCAATGAAGCTCTATGGTTGCTCACAGAGTGAAACTTATTTGTGATAACAAAGCAAACATGGCCATGCGTGGCACACACAAACTTACCAGTGAACCATGAATAAAAATGTAGCTTCTGAAATTTTCATCTTCATTTTCCCCCTGTTCGTGTGAAAAACCCATCAATGTCATTCAAAACTGATTATAATTATCTATGTGAAAGCGTTTTTCAAAAACACATTTTACTGCTTATTTGACACTGTGATGTTGTAATATTTTATTGATAAGAACAAGAATTAAGAAATTTGAATATATGTATGCTGTTGGTTATGGATTGCATTGAAAAAAAAAACATAACATAGTAAAAAAAAGTTTAATAGTCAATAAAAATATACAGTATAATACTTCACTGTGTGTTTCATCCAATCTTGATTTGATATTTAATAATGTAAATCCCCCCTCTCCTCTACACCACACTTATAGTTGTTCAAAAATGTAGATGTGCTTTTAAATGAAATCTCGCAACTAAGTGAAGGTAACTTTGTTACTCATCTTCTGATCACTGCACATACTTGTTCTCACCTTTAGAGTAATTTTATCCAAACCATTCTGGGACAACTGTTAAGCCTTCACACTATCTTTTCCTTAAATCCGCATTTCCAAACTGTAAATGTGTTTTCCTTATCTATACACCACATTTAAATCGTCCAATACAAGCTGCATGTACTTTATTACTATTTGTATGTGGTGAAACTTGTCTAAAATAGACTGTACAATACAATTGTTTGTATTGTTTTAAATACATTCATATGCAATTCAAAGAAGGCGCAACTAAACATGTGGTCGTTTATACATATGATATGCAATGTTTCAATAATACGAGTAGTACGAATACTAAATGCCACATGCCTTGTACATGTACATACCACATAAATTTGATCATAGTGGTTGCAACCAATTGTGTACGTTTAGAGAAAATCCACCACCGGCACATTTGTAATTGATTTATTGTTTATTGTCTTTTAGGCCACAGGCCCATATGACTATACATAACAAAAAAAACAAAAGAATACACAAGCACTGGAGAATGTACAGAAATTGTAAAATACATATATATATATAACAAAATTATTATACCGATAGTAACGAAAACTCCCTTCTAAGTTGAATGCTTTATGTAGAAATTTACCAAGATTACGTAGTACCTTTGCTGATTTTGAGCGCATTAGACTGTAATATTTTCCTGGATTGGGAAGATGCCAAAAATACTCAGAATTAACTGTTTTCGCATAGAGTG